CCAGCCATTAATGATATACTTAACACAGTAGTAGGTAAAATGATGCACTTTCACAATCTCCTTCAGTGACATAAATTTTTAAAACTTGTGTAAATACTGCATGATCTCACTGGTGTGAAGATTTGAAAGTGTAAATACAAAGCAAATGTAAAATAGGTATAATGAAAGAGTAAGCAGTTGTTCAAAAACAAAGAAGAATTAGCCAAGGGGAGTATAAAAGAAAAGAAGGAGAACAATGGAAAAACAAAAAATCATTGAAAATAAGGAGGAAAGGAGGGATTGTAGATAGCAAAACAGAATGACACAAGGAAGAATCATAATATATAATGTACAGGTACAATTTACCTGTAATGAATGTGAATATTAGGAACATCTCAATTGTAAAAATAAATAATAATAATAATAATAATGTAACTCCCCGAAAAATCAATGTATATTATACGCAAGTTGCAGTCAACCAAAATGTAATCCACTATTCTGTGCAATTTACATGAACTTATAAAATCATTTTCAGATTCTATATATATGGAAAGATTTATTAACTACCTTAATGTTTTCATTCAGCGATGTATCTAGCAAAGATACTCCAATAGTTTTTGGTTAAGAGAAACATGCTAGTGAAAAAGAAATCTTTCTCCATTAGAATTTGATGAACACAAGCACACACACACAGACTCACACACACATATGTCCAGATTCACTATTGCCAGTTATTTCTTAAAAAAATTCCACTGTTGGAATTCAGCATTTTAAATAAAATATTTGTAAGATTAATTTCAACAGATTGCTCACTTTGGATCATCAGTTCTATGGATTTTGATGTCCACTCATCCTGTGGCAGGTCAAGACACAGGTTTTATTTTGACCCTGAGACAGGCTGACCTCAGGAAGACCTTCCTTGGTCCAGGAGTTGATATTGCCATGCTCCATCATCCACTATGTCCTACACTATTGTGTTTCAATTTCATACTTATTTTTGCCTATGATTGAGACGCTGGTACAGAACATATTCAATGTATCTCTAAATTTTCATGTTATGTCCACTGAATCATGTTCTACTTCAGTCAGTATTCACATTTGTTAAACAAGGTTAAAAGCACTCCATGGCAAGACGATGTAAGAGATGGAAACAGCCTCCTTATTCTCTGGAAACCCAGTCATGTGTATTATGTATGTCCATGGGCAGATGTTCTGGAAACTTGAAATTTAATTCTTAGCTTATAAATGCTTCTTTCTGTATTCAGATCATGAACTTCACACTTTGCTTCCAAAACATTCAGTAAAGGCAGAGTAGTCATGACTATCTGAATCAAAAGAAGAATGAGGATTGAGGGAAAAAAATACCTTTCTATATAGAAATAGCTGATGGGCCTGTAGACTACCCATGCAACAATGAAGTCACTATAAAGATTGTCAAGACTGCAGGATACTGCAGGATAATTTGCTAAATGGGTGCCATTTTCCATGAAAATGATATTGCAGCTGGAACAGGACAGGGTTCTGAGGTCACAACTGCCAGGCAAGCACCATGGCACACATCTGAAGGAATCAGGTGGAAGCCAGTTCACAGGTCAGGTCACAGACTTCACATATTTATAAGGAGACTCCAACTTCATTAGATATAATCTAGTCTGTCTGTCTCCATCTCAGAACACCTTATCCCACACTTGTATTTCTAGCTTTTATGTTGTTTCCTTGTGTATTTGATTCCTGCTCTCCAGCAACCAGGTTCCATCCAGGGTTTTTGTCAACCGGTGACCATGAGTCCAAAACATGGTAGCAAAAATATAAAGGAAGACTCCGTATAATGAATTGCCTTTGAATTGCCTTCATCTCCCTGATCCTCTGTCCAGTTGACAATGCACACAGCCTTCCTTCATCACCCAATAGCTGGTGATGAAAGACCAAATATTTGAGCCTGAAAGGACAGAGAAAGTGATCCAAAACCTATACTGATGAGCAGGTTGACAGGTGCCTTTCCTGGATTACATATGGACTACTGCAGTGCTCCACAAGGGCATTAGTACTCTCAAAATGAGGTTTCTCTTGTATATACAGAACAGGTATTGACTAACTGTATTTTTTGCAAGTTTACTCCTACATGCAGTAAGTAAGATGGAAACTGTACTGCAGTGAATTCAGATTATGTAGTCTGGAAATGACTCCTAAACTGGGGGAGAGGGTGAGAACAGGCCGGATATACTAGAGTGTGAGATGAGGCCAATCTTTTTACTGCCTTATGAGAAAACAAGGCCTATTTTAACATTGCAGGACACATGTTGGAATCCAGGACATTTATACAGACCTATCTCTTCAGCAATATTTTTCATTTGCAGACATGTTTTCACTATGTTTCCAAGTTAACAAGCCTGGCTTTAAAGTGCAAAGTTGAAAACCTCTTGCCTCAGGTTCCCAGATGGCTTAAATCAAATGAAATCACCAACTTTCCTATGGCTGAATCATTTTATTAAAAAATAATAAAACATTAAAATTACAAAATATAAATATGAACTACCTTGTATTAATTCATCAGCAATAATCTATATCAAGATCAAGTGTGCAGAAATGCCAACTGCCTCAATGTATATTACAATATTGGAGAGTAATATATTTCACACATGGAAACTTACCCAAATAACATTTTATATATACTTCAAATTTTAGAATATATTGAAAAATGTACACAAGTAAATAGCTAAATAGTAGTAAACACAGTAACTAGCATAATAACACAGTATAATCAGAATCTTGTGAATGTGTTCTCTTTCTCTTCATATCTCATACTGCCTTGCACTTAACCTTCTTGTCATGTTGTGACATCATGTGATCGCTCTCAAATTATGCAACATGAGATAAATAATGACTCCATGTTACATCAGATTTATTTATGTTACTGAGAACAAAACATGACTTAGACTTTCTCAACATTTATTTCTGAGTTTTATTTTAGTATCATAAGATGCTGCTGAAATGCCACTGTGGATCATGTGCCTAAATGGGTACTATGAGAGTTTAGCAGTGCCATGTCCCCAAAGACTGTACAGAGAGCAGCAAAAGTGGTGTATTATTATCCTGCATGAAATTTATTGCTAGAAATATAATGCTACAACCTGGTTAAGAAGGTGTATGCTTGTAATCTCAGGACTTGTAAGGCTAACACAAGAGGTTTGCTGGAAGTTCAAGATCAGCCTGGACTACAAATGGAGCCCAAGGTTAGCCTGAACTACAAAGTGAGCTCATGACCAGCCTGGCCTACAAAGTGAGCCCAACATCAGCCTGAACTTCATAGCAAGTTTGTTTCAGACAAAACAAAACTAATGGTACAACTCTCAAGCATTGAATTCACGCACTTGTAGTTGTTACCTTATTTATTGCACACTGGTGATTCTTTCTTTCTGGTATCATGATTTAAACATCACTTCCATCACTCACTAGTGCTATTCTGGCAATCATATTCCATGCATTTTCTTTGAACCCTAGGAACTTATGTGAAATCATGATTCACTTGCATACTCAGGATATTACTATTTATAAATGACTGCCTTAATCTTAGAAGGATGCTGCTTACATTTGTAGAAAAGTACATGATGTGTAATAGGCAGTAGGAGCATACTTCTTTCAAAATAGAGATGATCAAGAAAGGGAAAAAACATAAACTGGGCATGTTAAGGCAACAATAATGAACTCACACCTATTATACCCACTGATGCCTTCCAAAGATGAACACTTACATTGTGAACTAAAAATAGGCACTAATGCATTTATACATATTTTAAATTTTCTTTTGCTTTTGTGATTATCTTATCATAAACATACATACATAGTTGCATGTCATGAGCTGTTGTGAAGGACACTGCTAATGTGTTTGTGAAGATCCTTCTACAAGAAATAATTGATACACATCCAACTGGAAAAGAGTGGAAAAAATAGGTGTCATCTATGCAGATGTTGATGGATCAAAAATGTGGGGGAAATTCTTCAGAATCCTTGAATTATCTTTAAAAACTATATTTTCAATAGTAAGCCTACAAATAGTTTAGCTAGTTACATGTGATACTGAAGCATAAAATAAATGTGCTTTGGATTATCTCCATCATCAAGTGTGATTGCTGTAAATTCTATAAAAATATATTCACATCAATTTTTTTTGGTATTTCTACAGATCTTGACTACAAGAGTAATTTGCAAAGTATTTTCAAAATAGTCACATACATATGTCAAATTTGTTTTCATATGCTGACTTTCATGTATTTGACCATACACAGGAATACTGAGTGCTTTCTCAGACAGCATACAGAGGCATAATGTTGGAGGTTAGCATCTCTGTCAATGGAAAATTTTACTCAATACATTTTTCACAGCTACAACACAGTGTGTGAGAAATTTAGCATTTGGAATGCATAGGATTACTTCCTTATATGAACTCTTTCATGTCATTATAATCACTGGTGGTGGACAAATTTGCTGCATTGCTCACATGCATACAGATTCTCCCCATTGTGAGTCCTTTCATGTGTTCATCAGGTACAAAACGAACTGAATGTTTTCTCAAGTTGCTTACCTACATAGGTATTCTTCCCATTGTGGAATCTTTGATACGTTTACAAGCTATGGGCTTGGCTGGTAGATTTCCCACACAGCTTACATACTTAAGTTTTTTCTCTGTGTCGGATCTTCTAGTTCTAGAAAATGTGGATTATCAGCAGAGCTTTTAGATTATGACTTATATAAGTTTTCTCCCAAGTGTGAATTAATGAGATTACAATATTGATTGAGAGATTTTCCACATTATGCACCTACATAGTCTTTCTCCCTAATGAGAGTTCTATCATGTTGTTTATAACCTGTTTGTATACTGAACATGTTTCTAAATGTCTTGCATGATAAGGATTTTCCCTAATTTAATTTCATTCTTGTTCCTGACAGTGAATGTGTCTGCCTTTGCATTTGTGATGGTATATCTTAACATTAGGATGGCTACATGGATACAGGCCATGAACACAAGCACAATTTTGAATGTGAATGTATAGACACTTCTTGGTAAACTGATACAAGAGTTACAGATTCTGATGTGAAAACTTGTCATGAGACAATTAGGTGTCATCCATCCAAACAAGACATTGGCAGATCAAAACATGGAAAAAATCATATAGCATACTTAAATTTTCTTTAAAAGGTGCAACATTTTTATTAAGACTACAGAAAGATAAAATATGTATTAAAAAAGACAAAAATATTTTAGGATAATTCTGTTTCGGGTTGTCTTCAAAAATGTATGAGCATATATTGACAGAAATTATTTTATACTATTTTGGCAGGTCTCCTCTACATGACTAATTTTGAAATTATTTTCAAAATAGTCCCTTACATATGTATGATTTCACTTAACTCGGATTACTTTCACACTTTTGACAATAAATATGTATACTGAATACTTTCCGACATTGCATACATAATCTTGGGACATAGTATGACATCACTCAGAAGGTTAGCAGCTATCAGCTGAACTTTTACAAAAACTTCCTTACATGCAGTTACTCCCCAATGTGAGAGGAATCTTATGTTTTCAAAAGGGAAGCACTGCAGCAAATCTTTGCCACACTGCCTACATATATATGACATCTTCCTTGTACTCAAAATTTCCCTATGGCATTTTTGTGTGCTACATATGATCTACCATTGTTCAATTGCATAGAATTACTACACAGAGGGAGTTCTTAAATGTAGTGGCAATCTCAATGGTATGGAAAGTCTTCCTATATTCCTTATGTTCATAGGATTTTTTCCCAGTGTGATATATTTGATGTTATAAAGTGAGAATGGATAAACAAATCCATTTACTCATTTCTCATATAGATAGGGATTTTTAAATAGAGTGAATTCTTTTCTATACAAAAAAGCTACAATTATAGCTAAAATACATCACAAATTACTTACATCAATGGAAAGGGTTCATTTTCAGCACTTCGGTATACTGAATGTTTTGGTATATTGGTTGTACCATAGATGTTCTATAGGGTGTGAGTTCTTTTATGAATAATAAGGTGACTGCTTTGACAGAAAGATTTCCCACATTGCTTACATACAAAGGGTTTCTCCCCAGTGTGTATTCTATCATGTGCTTTACAAGCAGAGGATGTACTGAATGCTTTCCCACAATTGTTGCATGCAAAGGGTTTCTCCCCAGTGTGAATTCTTTCATGTTTAATAAGGTCACTGTTTTGACTGAAAGATTTCCCACATTGTTTACATGCAAAGGGTTTCTCCCCAGTGTGAATTCTATCATGTGCTTTACAAGCAGAGGATGTACTGAATGCTTTCCCACATTTGTTGCATACATAGGGTTTATCCCCTGTGTGAATTCTTTCATGTATAAGAAGGCTAGGCTTTTGATTGAAAGATTTCCCACATTTACTGCATGCAAAGGGTTTCTCCCCAGTGTGAATTCTTTCATGTTTAATAAGGTGACAGCTTTGACAGAAAGATTTCCCACATTGTTTCCAGGCAAATGGTTTCTCCCCTGTGTGAATTCTTTCATGTCTAAGAAGGTTAGACTTTTGATTGAAAGATTTCCCACATTGCTTACATACAAAGGGTTTCTCCCCAGTGTGAATTCTTTCATGTTTAATAAGGTCACTATTTTGACTGAAAGATTTCCCACATTGTTTACATACAAAGGGTTTCTCCCCAGTGTGAATTTTATCATGTGCTTTACAAGCAGAGGCTGTACTGAATACTTTCCCACATTTGTTGCATGCAAAGGATTTCTCCCCTGTGTGAATTCTTTCATGTCTAAGAAGGTTACACTTTTGATTGAAAGATTTCCCACATTGCTTACATACAAAGGGTTTCTCCCCAGTGTGAATTATTTCATGTTTAATATGGTCACTGTTTTGACTGAAAGATTTCCCACATTGTTTACATACAAAGGGTTTCTCACCAGTGTGAATTTTATCATGTGCTTTACAAGCAGAGGCTGTACTGAATGCTTTCCCACATTTGTTGCATGCAAAGGATTTCTCCCCAGTGTGAATGTTTTTATTACTTTGACAGCCACTGAGTTTACTGAATGCTGTCCCACATTGCTTGCATTCATGTGGTTGCTTTCCAGTGTGAAGTTTCTTACTTTTTTAAAGAAATTACTGTGAGATAATGCTTTTGCACATTTTTCAATTATATGATATTTCTCTCTACCATATTTTCTAATAGGTTTTTAATATTGGATGAAGAAATAGAATTATTCTCATAGTGTTTTTGTACATATAAGTTTCCTGAATTGTGGTTTGTCTTGGGGATTTGAACACTGTTCGGTGTTGTGTGGGCTTTGACACTTTTGTTACCTACAAACATTTTCTGCCCAGAGTGAATTTTTTCACTAAGATCATGTCTCTCCTCCTCATTTTGCCCGTATTCACTGGGTCTCTCTACAGTGTTCCTCATTTCATGCTTCCAAAAGGACTGGAAAACACTGCAGGTCTCTACATCTTCATTACATTTATATGGCTGCTCTTCAATTCTCAAATAATTGTCTTCATCACATCTGTGAAGAAATTAAAAAAGACATCAATCACAATGGAAAAGGCTCCACATTAGCAATAAATTTTATGATGACAAATTTAGTTTGATTCCTGCTAGGTAATTCTGATGGTTAACTGACTCACTGCCCTGCAGGACTTCTTTCAAAATACTATTCATTTTAAAAATTTTTACTGTTTTTTTTTTTTTGTTTTTTTTGTTTTTTTTGTTTTTTTTGGTACCAGGGATTGAACTCACAACTGCATGCTTGCAAGGCAGACACTTATGCCCCTGAGATAAATCCCCTGCTCCATTTAGACAATTTTAAATTGTTATGTGATTCTAATACTTAATATCATTTTAGGAGACTGGTACAAATGAATAGCAAACATTGATCATTTTTTTTAGCTCTTCGTGTCTTAACTCCCCTTTGTCTATTTAGCCCGATCATCTTTCTCATCTACAGAACATAAGGATTTCTGGTCATATATTCTCTCTTTACTTTCACTTCTCAAATAAGTTTTTAATTTCTCATTTAAGAAAACACCTGAGTTGTGTCCAGGGATTTAACTCAGCAGCATAAGCACCAGCCTGGCAAGCATGAGATTGTGAGTTCATTCCTCAGTACCAAAAGAGAGAGATAGAGAGAGAGAGAGAGAGAGAGAGAGAGAGAGAGAAGAAAAACCTGTGATATTTCCATTTCTATGTCTGAATAGAAATAGGACCTTCACTTAAGGTCCAATACTTCTTGTTTCTTTGGAAATGATATCATGGTTCCCTGTATAGCTTTTTTTCAACGTCTAGTTAAACACAGGTCATAGAATGAACTACATTTGCTGACCTATTATTTGTTTTGTTGAGAGAGATTTTTATTGACCATCAACTTGTCCAAGCTGAACTTCAAGTTATCATCCTGCTGATTCAGCTTCCCCAGCTGCTTGGGGATTGCAGGAATGCACCACAATATTTAGCTGACTCCAAATTTTCTTTACCTTGGCATCCAGTGATGGGCATCTGGGCTCTTCTCAATGCTTAGCTACTGGGAGTTGATTCTTGTATTAGATATTGTAAATGCCCTTTCATGTGCTTTAACAAACAACACACTAATGGTTCACTAACATTTGATGATTTTAATGTATTTGACAATATACTGAGAGAATCATTACACATAATGACACAGTATGACCCACTCAAGAGTCAGGAGGTAGAGGCAGGAGGATTGCTCTGAGTTTCAGGCCATCATGGGCTTCACAATAAGCTCAAAGTCAACCTGAACTACAGTATAAAATCATGGCTCAAAAGATTTTAAAAAAGATATCTTTGTCGATGTACATGTGAAACAATATGAAACATGTTGTTTTAATTTTCAGACCACTGAATAGTTTTTACCATGTTTGTATTTTATGTATCCATCAACAAGGTATGAGGAATTTTAAACATGAACATCTCAACATTCTATAGGATATTTTCAAAGTACTTATAACAGTAGAATTCATTTTCATTTGGAATACTGATTCTATGTGAAAAGAATTCTAGATCATGAAAGTCTCAGTATTCACATGTATATCTAAATGATATTTTGAAGATGGGTTTTTATCAACTTTCACAATTTGTTCATTTCCTACATATCAAAATACAATATTTAAATTTATTTTCATACATTTCTATGATGTTGATCACGAAGGTAATCTTTAAACTGATACATTACATAGTGTTATTTAGTACATGTATTAGAATTACCTCTGATTCTTATATTTCAATATGTTTCTATGGATTCCCAGATAATACAAAATAAAATCAAGTATATCTCTTGGTATTTTTTGAGGCTAAGTAAGGTATAACATGATCTCATTTCTTCAGGTTCCTTTGTTTTAATATTTATGCTCACACACTGACAATTAAGTAATGTTCTCTTTCTCTTCTGTGTTTCAGTCACCTTATATTACTTGAGCAATTTTTGTCCTCTTCCTTACTTTGCTGATTATTCCATATTTTTCCTGTAATATGGACATAGAAATAAAATATACTTACTATAACTGTACATTAAAACATCCCTGATTTGATTTATGCTCATAGTATAGTATAATCAGACTAGAGATATACAAGCAAATGTTATTATTATCAAATATATTAAACTGTATCAATGAGCAATAATTAATGCTGTTAGTATAAACAAACATATCATCCTTACCTGTTGCAGTAATATTCATATATGTTTCCCACATCACTCCTCTGTAGAGCTTCTTTTGGGATGGAGTCAGCAAATCCCACTCTTCTGGAGTGAACTTCACAGCTACATCCTCAAAGGTCACTGTCTCCTAAGTATTGACAAGGGTCCTGAAGTTCAGGCATACATAACCTGATATACCTCAGTTCCTGTAATAAGTAGTCTAACTGAAATTCATTCTTTCAAGTATTAACTGCATATCATGGTCATCAAAACTCAAGTACATTCAAATATAGTCACCCAGTAACACTGATGCTAGACTATGACACACTGCTAAAGCAATCACAGAACTGTAGCATGGTTTGTCCCACAGGGCCACCAATAGTGTAGTTTTTCATTTACTTTAAAGCAGAGCTCAAAGAGTTAGAATGCAAACCACCATTCACAAAATATTGGTTATTCATAACACGGAGTTTGTCTTTTTATTCAACAGCATCATGGTCTTGAATCTAGATTTATAGATAAATATTTAGTTGAATATGAAAAGAGATTTCTGAGTGATTAAAATTTAATGACAGAAAAGTTTTATTTGACCATTCTATAGACAAGGAAATAAGGGAAAATGTAGTTATAAATATTTAGCTCAGGGATACTAAATTATCTCCTTGTACTTATACACTGGAAATTCCACTAGGGTGCAAAGGAAGATAATGTGGGAAAAAAAACATATATGAAATGCTTGAACTGGAGTGAAAATAGTGGAATAGCAAAGTAACTGGTCACTAAATACAGAAGGAAGAGTTCAGTACAGTGGAGTAGTATATGCTTGTACTCTCAGAACTTGAAATCGTGATGTAAGAGGATTACTAGAAATTTCATGCTTGCCATGCATACAGTGTCCACCCTGGGCTATGTAACAAGGACAGTTCTGACTACAAAGTGAGGCCATTCATTAAACCCTGTACCAAATGAAAATTAAAATTAATTCACCGTCATTGACAAATGACAACTTTGCACCCAGGATATATATCAATGGTACAAGCACCTGTATGAGATTTGCAAGGGCCTGAATACAATTTCCAGTAGCAAAAAGAGAATTCAAGTGCACCTTTGATTAGTTCCAACAACTGTACATGTATGTTAGAGAAAAAAAGCCTGTAAACATTGAATATTTGTGTGCAAGGAAACATTTTGCCTAATAAACAGGAAAATATTTGACATTCAACATTCATATCAGTGGACAAATGGATCTCAGGAAAGGAAAACAACCTTCAATTCATTCACATGGAATATTATGTCACAATTCAGCTGGCATTGTGCTTCTAAGCAAGAAAGCCCAATATGTTTCATTTACATTCAGAAAGAAACAAGTATGTCCCTAGAACTTCGGCCTGCACACTATCCTTGCCTATGTGCATTGGTGAACAATTGAAATGAGGAAGAGAAACACGAATTACTGTAAAATTTATACTGAAAAATAGTTAGTGCAAAACTCTTCTGAAGAAAATCAAGCAGCCATGAAAATTATAAGTTGAAATCTATGAAAATTGGAATTAAACAAGAAAACATTTATTGGGAACACAATACAAAGATTTTACATAGAGTTAAGATCAATGAGCACAAATCTAAAAATAAATAAAATTTATGTGACCCAGCAAAAATAATGAAGAGAAAAGAAAATCTAAATCACATTTGTGAAAATAACCAAACAATATTGAAGTGTGGAAGAAAAAATAATTAGTTTTATTCTCAAGTTCCACAAACTCCTTTTCTATGGAGTTTATGAAAATCTACATACAAGTGAATTCTTTCTAATGTCTACAAAGTATTTTGTTCTATGATTCCTTGAAATGCACGTGATTCTTTTCAAGTGAAATTACAGACTCAGAAACTGTGACCAAGAGAATAAATGAGAATGTACTTTGGCCTTGATTCACCTATCAGCCCTTGTGAATGACTGTGAGAAATGATTGAATTGATAAGTATCACAAAATTTCACAATACATTTCTATGTGCAATTTCAATGGTAGTTTCTAAAAACTTAAAGGGAATAAGTTAAAAATATAATTTCCATAAAAGAGCACTTTGTAAACTTTGGAATATTTCCAAAGAATTTTCATCAATCATGCAATAATACTTTCTGACCTGAATGTTTTTCACACGGTTACCTTCATTTCTTGCCTAAGATCCTTTGGTGAAACTTTCTGAATACCCCTGTGACTCTTTCACTGCTCTCATTAAATCTATACACAAAAGCTTTGAGAATAAGATTTTCTTTAAATGATTAAAACAATAAATTGCAATACAGGTACTAACTGATTTGTATCTGTTTATGTGTCTTGAGATATGAAATGATTGGACAGTTTCCATATTAGATAGTGATAAACAAACTACAGTTACAAATATCATTGTAACAAATTCAGTGCTAACAGTTGTGAAATTTGAAGTTCACCAAAAGGAAAACAGGTCAGGAGAGGAGACTTTATCAGAACAGGTCAGATTAAAAGGGACTGAGAGAACAGGTGTCAGAGCTGACTAATAGCTAGACAACTAGGTAATCCGCAAATACTCTCATGATCCAGAGAGCAGTGTTTATTGTGTGCACACTGATACGATAGGTTAAATAGTAAGCTATGCAAAAAGAGATACCTCAATGCCATTGATTCAACAAAACATACTGACACTACATTAGCTTGATTGTATTCCACATGTACAATCAGCAGTTATTTAGAAACAAATATCATATGGCCCATATAAAGAGCAATCAACTACATAAACAGAAACAGAATTGGGAGAGAAAATTCAATCATTTACAAATATATATTTAAGAGTTCAAAATATCTTCATCAGTGACTGACAGCTCAAGAAGGCAGAGCAATCTTTAAGGTCACACATAAATTCATCAAAATAACAATTCAAAGCAATATAATAGATGGATTCTATTGATTGGTTTATCACAGAAAAACATAGCACACTGTCCTCACAGCAAGCCAAGAAGTATTCACACATGTAACCCAGGTTCAACACAGCAATACAGAATGTAACATAGTCAGTGGAGTGGAAATCATGCAAAGCAGGCTCTTACACAATACTGGAATAAAATTATAAATGAAAAGCAGAAAAAATGAAGAATGCTCTTAGAATGAGAGATCAAATCACAAATTTTACATAACGTTGCAAAAAAAACCTTAAATAATTAAGGATTTCACAATCCATGTCAATGAATGCACATTTAGAATCATTTCAGTTCCTCAAACTTAGTGCGTCAAAACATATTAAAAACAGTGAATGCTGGTACTGGAAAAGAACATAGACTTTAATTGTAGAAAGTTAGAGAACACAGTGCTGAAGGAAGCTCAACAGAGCAGCTGTGAGCTGAGTGCATGGCATCACTCTGCATGGCAGTCTTTTGGAAATCTGAGACTAGGGCAGAGCACATTACAGGCCCATCCCTGAGCCTCAGGAAGCTAAGTTTCCACAGAGAACTAGACAAAATTGCTGCAATATAAAAATATTAACCACCCCACAAGAAATAGGATTTTTCATTGCTCTATACTTGTGCAGATTGCAAAGAACAATAGAGAAGAAACTCTTAAAAATATTAGAGGCATTACTTAGTAATTAATGTAACTAAATACATAAATATCTGGTGGAAATCAGACATTGACATCAGTGGACACAGACAAGACACAAGATGAAAAAATTAGCAGAGTAAGTTGGAATGCATACAAACATATTCACTTTCAAATAACAGTCTATATGGTGAAAAAATTAAATTTTCAACAAAAATTTAATAGAATTTATAAGATAATGTACCACAGACAATATCTCTGGATTGAAATAGAGATATGTGCCATGTAAATATGTATCAGGTATCAACAACTGATTTGGTTTGCAGCCGCCATTGAACAGCAGCCCAGCCATGCCCACTTGCTTTGAAGCCAACTGAGTGTGGAAGCCAACCTCCAAAAACTGGATTGAACTCACAACCTTGTGCTGGCCAGGAAGGCACTTATGCTGCTGAGCTAAATCACTGGCCAGAAGAAACTTGAATGTACTCACCAAGAAAAAAATGTTGGACTTCCAGGAGAACATGGTGGATAGAGAGCAGCAGCTTTGGAGGCTCTCTGAGAAACTGCACTTAAAATCCAGGAATGGTGCCGGGCGAGAAATCCTAATCAAGGGGAGGTATACTTTGCCAACACAGGAATGAACTAAACTAAGAGAAACCAACTGGAAACACATTCCCGGTGATATAACAGGAAAAGATAAGGTCTCAGCACAGAAGCTGGACCCCGTGCCACTGGAAGATGTGATTTGAGTTTCCTGCAGCTGCTGCTGTGTCCCAATTGGCATGGCAAGGAGAGAGGCACGAAAGCTCTCAGAGTGGGAAGCAGTGAATGGAGCTGAAAGCAGGACTGGCAGGGAGCCCTGCATCGACCTGCAGTGAGTGAGAGGAATGGCAATGCTTCCATAGAGTAGGAGGCTTCAGCAAATCACATACTGCGACTGGGCAGACTAGCCAGAACAGGTTGTTGCAGTGACTTCAGTCACATATTCCCCTCTCAAGCAGGATTGGTGGGGAGTGCCTGGCCTGCGTGACGCTGCTGACTAAGACCCAGTAGGCTAGCCCAAACAAGGTCCCAGTGTCGGGAGGTGCACCCTAGCAGTGAAGCCTTCAGTAGATTGACCTGGAGGATAGGGCCCAGCATAGCCTGTCCAGGTATCTATCTCCCTAGTACACTGCAGTGGGTGGAAACATCTACATGGTGCAATTCAAACAACCTTTTTTTTTTATGGGTACCAGGGATCAAACTCACGACCACCTGCTTACAAGGCAGACGCTTATGCTGCTGAGCTAGATCCCCAGCCCAACTGTAACTGACAAAAAAAGAACCTGGGCCTCCTATATTCACTTGTATACAATGAACAAAAAATATGCGAAGAGGGAGCAGCAAGAAAGGATCCTCGACCCCCAATCCTGAGAAACATGCAATATCAGACACGGCACCAATAGACATAAAACATTATCTCCGGAGCATTATAGATGAGTTCAGGAATGAAGTTATTAACAACCTGAAGCAAGTTATAAGTAAAATAGTTAGAGAAATGCTAAACACCAGACAAGAAAAAAACAGATGGTGGAATGGA